TGCAGATGCATCGTCACCCTTGAGGACTAAAATGGTATGCCTCGTTACCAGTTAAAACGGTCTCCGGTTTTCTACACTCACCATATGAAACACAGCAGCATTAATCAGATATTTTATGCATTTATGCTGTGAGAGCGTATTCGTACCCGTCGAGCCGAGCTAATCGTGTTGCAGCCATAATATAGCAGCAGCATGGCTTTACCACGTAAAAATAAACCAAATAATTACCTATACGTATTAGAATTCTGCTAGGCGGTAAACATAGAAATATTGTTGTGTTTGTTTGTTACTGGCAAAAGAGAGAATAAAACTTATTACATTCGAATGATACAACTAGACGCGATACTGGTACTCATACTGCGTGGTAGGACTCCTTCCCTGCCCAAGAGTCCATTTGGATCAGTTCAAAGCTTTTCCTGTTGCTGCATCTGAATATCAGTGTCTAAGTAGCATTCACACGTTACGAGACTAAAGAGAATTGAATATTTTTCTCATAACAGCTTATTTAGTAGGGCTTTAACAGCTTCTTCTGCAATGCATATATATTTCTTAACTCAGCGTAATTATGTTACAAAAGTAAACTAAAGTCACAGCCTATATGCAAGTTCTAATCCCGAGCACATGGAAATCGTGTAATGGCGGTGTAAGAATATGCACTATCCCGTATCATCCTGTGGGTGGCTTTTGAGGTGACAGAGAGAAAATGAAGCAGGAGATGGACAGCAGAAGCTTCCTGATGGCAACTCAAAGAAACTGAAAACTAAAATATCCGCCTTCCGCGTGTGACAACTATGGTAAAATCCCTTCTATGAGGTAATCTCTGGAGGCGTTTGTTCATCAGTGTATTTTCATTCGCTGTAATGAACGGAATGGGATTCTGGGTAGGTTCATGCTCTCATTTCTGATAGAATCAAGAAAATGCCTGCTGGATTTGCTAGCGGACTTCACATGTCTCCGATAAACTAATTTTATTTGTCTGACAGGTAGGTTTCCTGGCTATTTTTAGCACGCAGTAAATCAGCACTTAAAATAATCTTAAAAATACGTTACAAAGTGTGGGAGGACAAGATGTTGTGAGAACACAAAATATCTCCCAGAACACATTTCTTCGCGATACAAGGAACATAAACTGCACGTATATAACTAACTAGCAATATACCTGTATATTGTGACTGCGGTCGTGTACCGGCAGGAAATATTTCCTCCTGACTAAGATCATTTTCTAAGATTTTATTTACCTATGTAAACATTTTTTATGTTTATGATACAAAAATGTAGGGAAACAGTTTTGTTATTTATGGCAACGTTTTAATATTGCCTTTGATAACAATATTTTGGTCTATCGTATCTGATGCAAAGGCGTCGGCCGTCTAGGGTATGGGTCTGAGGTTTTTTGTGTGTGTTTTATAGTACCGAATATTTGTGATCCTAAATTAACACAAATGCTTGACATTCAATATAATTAATTTTAAGAATTTTATTCCGTTTAATTAATATCCGATAAATTGTAAAGAAATCCTTAATATTAGTTTTATTCATAGTTATGAATGTGAAATATATATTATTATTTGACGGTTCCGCGGCGTAGTGACAGCACAGAGTTGCGTTGCTGAGGGCCGCGGGTTCAAACCCCGTACGGAACAAGTGACAGCATTGAGTTGGGGTGCTGAGGGCCGCGGGTAACTGGCAGAGAATACCGATAGGTACTTTTGTTACCCCACTTATTAAGGTGTATCAATTAAAGATGAAATAAATAAATAATCCCCAACGAAAAAACAAACGTTGTACTGCCTGTCTTAATCAGTTGATTTATTTTGCGCTTTGATGTCAAAGGACACAATATCGATACAAGCGTACGTCAAAATAAATGTTTGTTCGTTAGTGTTGGTGTACTTTTATACCAAGGTACCCTGTGGTGTACTTGCACTAACGACGAAGTTACTATAATGTAAATATTTCACCGCTACCGTGCCCTTAGACAAAATAATGGGCGGCCGCCCACTAGATGGAGTGAGTTAATATAACTATTAAAACGACATTCCAGTTTTTACCTTGAGCTTATTATAGTCTAAGGACTAAAGTCTATATTATAGACTTAGTCTTCTCAAAAGGTTTATAAAATGTGAAGTCAAGAACAAGTATTGGCTTTAATTTTTCTACACATATCTATGCACTATATCTAAATATAAACTTCTGAAAGTATTAAGTGGAAAATATTTGATTCTTTTTAGTTCTTTTTTTTTTTTGTTAAACTGTGAACATAAAATAGTTAAAGCCTTTTTCCTTAAAATTGAGAAAGAAACATTTTTAAACGAAGCAACAAAAGAACAAATAGAGTAAACGTCGTCGGAAGTGTGATGTGCTTGCTGTGCTGTAGCAGGAAACCCTTGTGAACCAAGGAGCGATTGTAGTAGTAAAATGGATAGTAACATTGATATTACTTTTATGTGCACAATATTATTTTTTTTATTAGAAATCGGTCTCAAGCACATTGGTGCCTTAAGGGCTATAAGTGCTCTCCCTAATTGTACGGAATTTATCACGTACTCAGCAGTGAAGGAACAAAAAACATTGTGAGGAAAGCTGCATGCCTGATTAATAAATATCTAGAAGACATGTGAAGTCTGACAACACTCACTGGAGCATCGCGGCGGACTACATTAAATAGCGTCACGGCTGCAATTCCCGAAGTGGGTAGGCAAAGGTGGAAAGACAAGGGAGGTACTCGGATCACGTTTAGCCAAAAAATATGGGTAGAAAACTGTGAAAGAAGTGATATCCAATTAGTTGCCCTTCAAGTACATACATCACAAGCAAGTAACACGGAACATTATTTATCTAATAAATCCCACATAAACATGGGACCTATACGTTAGAGAACAACAAAGGACAACAATCGACTCAACAATCGACCCATCAATCGACCCAACAATCGACCCAACAGTCAACCCAACAATCAACCCAACAATCAACCCAAACGATCAACCAAACAATCAACCCAACAATCAACCCAACAATCAACCCAACAATCGACCTAACAATCGACCCAACATTCGATCCAACAATCGACCCATTAATCGTCCCAGCAATTGAACCAACAATCGACCGAACAATCTACCCAACAATCAACTCAACAATCAACCCAAACAATCAACCCGACAAACAACCCAACAATCAACCCAACAATCAACCCAGTAATCAACGCAAACAATTAACCCAACAACCGACTCATCAATCGACCCAACTATCGATCCAAAGATCAGTGTACCCATTAACCGATCCAACAATCGATCCAACAATCAGCCCAACAATCGACTCAACAATGGACCCAACTTTCGATCCAACAATAATAATAATAATAATAATAATCCACAACTATCACACAACGCCATCTAGTCCCAAGCTAAGCAGAGCTTGTGTTATGGGTACTAGACAACTGATAAACATACTTATATATTTCTAAATACATAAATATTATAGATAAATTACACCCAGACACAGAACAAATGATCGTGCTCATCACACAAACATTTGTCCTGGGTGGGAATCGAACCCACGACCTCCGGCACAGCAGTCAGGGTCACTAACCACTAGACCAACAGGCCTGACGATAAATAAAATAAAGTCTCTAGCTCGAGAGGAGAGGAGCCGTGGTAGCTCAGATGGTAAGTGCTTGCTAAAATTTTCACAGTGTGCGAGCAAACCGGGTTCGATCCCCGCCGGCACCAATAATATTGTAATTGCAATTTTAAGTATTGATTTACAACGTTTTTGGTCATTGTGAGGAAACCTGCATATCTGAGAAATAAGAAAAAAATATTTCGAAGACATGCAAAGTTCGCCAACACGCAGTGATAATTCCTTTCCTAGGACCCTTTCAGAAAATAGAATAGAAATAAAAAAAATAATAAATCCAAACTTCATTTAAAACCAAACATATAAATTGTAAAGTAGCTGCAGGTATCTATAACCAAGTAAAAGATATTCCTTTACTCCAACTTGTCCATGTTTCTCAAAACAATTTTTAATTAAGCTTTATATTATAATGCGGATTTTTTATATTTAAAATTTTAATAATAAAGCATTTCTTACGTCTCAGCCGAGGCGCAAATATTTTTCGGCCGCAAATTTATAAGACCGATTTGTTATTCAAACATAAACATGGTTTTTTTATTAAATCTACCAATCATAAAACGACACGCATTTTTATTGAACACTTCCTATTCAATTCACAAAGTACCTATTATATATTTGTTTATATAAAAAAGTATATTTAAGTACAATCATAAAACTAAATGGAAACACAAAGTAGGAATCAATGGGCAAATGTAAAAATTCTGGAGGCAGGCATCCCTATCGCATGTTTACGTACCGCACGGCTGTAAGATTTATTTCTAAGATACGGCCGAGTTACAATATACCGTGACGTAAGCGCATCGGTTGGTAGGTAATCAAATAATACATATTATTTTTGCGGCGAAATACGGACGCGGCGACCAGCGACGCGACCACCTAGTACGAACGCATACAGCGTAATGCCGCCCGCACTCTGCGCACGCCCCTTTATCATAGAAGTCACACAATTTTCGGAATTATTTCAATTAAAAGAGAAAAAACGAACTTAAAAATTTAAATAAAACGTGGAGAATATAGATTTTTTAATTATCTATCCATTAGTGTTATCCTCAAATGATTAGAGCGTTGCGTTTAGCAACAGATGCATGTAATCAAGAATTTTAGTCATTTTTTAAAAGTTGATTTTAAATGTATTTATAGCACATAAAAATAAATTAGAACGTGGAATGCGATGATAAGATATCGAACATTAATAATGTACTATTAGATGTAGTTTATTTTTCATAACTAATGAGATAATAGAGTCTGAAAAACGCACTTTCGCAACATTTTGGTCAGGGATTCACCTTAAGTGCTAATGATATCCGTACTGTCACGTTATTTATGATAAACGGAAAAACAATATGATCTTATTTTTGTTGCGGATGTGGTCGCGGTTCAAGAAACTAATGGCCGTAATTAATGAAAATGGAGCTGAAAAAGAGAATATTAATAAAGAAAACGTACAACCTGGTAAGATAGAGTCAACAACTATAGGTCATTGGTTATTAGTTTCCTTAGGGCTTTGGAAGTGTTTTTAAGTGTACAAATAATGAGGTATAAGGCAGATAACAAATATTTTGTTGGTCTTTTGACATTTCCTTTCCTGTGGATAAGGCTGACTATGTTAAGAAGATATAGGTACTGAACAAGTGTACAATTTAAAACAATACCTATCTAATGTAAAGTAAACACGTAATTATTTATTTACGTTGGTAGGTATTTGTAACATTTGGTGAAATTACGGGAATGACATAGTGAGTTCTGTCTAAATTATTTAAAAATTAAGAAAACATTGTGAGAACTTAAACTTATTTTCAGATAAAGACGAACTAGGGAATGACGCTAGAATATCTCAGCGAATTTTGGTTAAATCTTCGAGCATCTTCTCCGGCAGCAATTCTTCTTCTTCTTCCTTTATGGCGGTTACGATGAATTCGCCAAAGCAGCAGTTAGTTATCATCAGGTACATTATTTTATGAAGGTATTTTGCTTATATTTTCTTACTATTACTACAAAAATAATAATCAGCAATGCACTTTTCCTCTCAGACTCTGATGATTCGGTTAAAGTCCCAAATTATAGCATTATACCACAACATAACGTACAAATTGAGAGTAGTTCTGATGAAGAAGGATACTTGTCGCCAGAAGGGCCAACGTATACAGTTCCAAAAAGGACATCAGAATCTCCATTATATCAAACAATAACTAGATGCGCCTACATCTGCCACTTCGGAAATCATAGCTACCTCTACAACGAGAGTGATACCAAGTTCAACTTACATAATGACAGAACCAGAACCTACAAATACTCTAAGTCAAAATAAAGAGGAAGAAAGATACAGAGAAATGAAGAATACTGGAAAAGAAACATCGCTAAAAGATTACGAATTAGTAGAAAAGAATACCAGACAAGCAAAAGAAGAAGAACTTTATCAGAACGTGATTTGAAGGAAACCTGTAAAGATACATGTAAGTTCAAATTTGGAACAAATATAACTGAAAGTCAACAGCTGTAGCTGTAAGTATTCAAAAACAATGGAGTTTTATTGCAAATTCTGTGAAAGACGTGACGCCAAAACATCGTTTTATTAGAGTTCATGCTGATGGAAACTGCTCTGGACCTAAGTGAAATAATAACAAAGCTGTTACTTTTCTGTTTCTGGTACAAAAATCAGTGTGTGCAAACTCTTTTTCCAAAATGCATTAGGGATAAATAGTCGACCAGTAGATACAGCTATAAAGAAGAAAAATAAGACTACAATGACCAACATGACCGACATGAAAGACAATCGAAGATGCCATGGTAAACAACGTAAAGTTGATAAAAAAAATTAAAAAAGGCATAAAAAATTTAAATCCATATCCAAAATTGTATCTCATTTTAAAAGATCCCACCCAAAAAGACATTATATAGACGAAAAAAAAACAGTGTGGCTGACCTTCACAAGGATTACGTGTGTAAAAAATAATGCTTCTTATGGAAATCATATAATGTTTTACCGCATTTTTACACATGACTTCAACATATCATTCGTTACATCGAAGAAAAATCTGTGCGAAACATTTGAAGCGTTTAAAAATAGTAATAGCGAAGAAAAAAACACTTAAAGAAAGTAATGCGAAACATCAGAAAGAAAAATAACTATCACGTGCCGAAAAAATGTTATGAAATGTTAAAGTGGCTGTGTACGATTTACAAGCAGTGCATTAGTGCCCAAAAAGGAGAAATCTCCGTTTTTTATTACTTGTGTAAGCTAAGCGTACTAACGTACTAACTACTACTAACGTAACGCTAAAGAATCATGTCCATGTCCACCTGAAAATTTTCTAACGCGTCTAGTGATGTAAAATATCTAATAAAATTGCATATTTTTTTCTTATTTCGTATCTCATAATTGAATTTTCAAATAAAGCCAGGAAAAAAGTAATGTTACTTTGTTTATCATTCTCAATAGACTTTTGGAGACGGAATGTGCTTTACAATGGCTCAAGGGCCCAGAAGCTACGCCAAAATATATTAAAAACGTTGAAATTTGCGTTGAAACGTTGAAAAACGCGGTTACCATAGATTAAAATTTAACTTTTGTTCCAATCTACACAGTAAGAACTTATGATATCATGAAGTCTTGCAGTTGTATGCTTGGGTTGGGATTTAATTTTATTTATTATAGGATCCCAAGCAAATGGTAGCACCCAGCCATCTTCTCTATTACAGGATCGCCCATTCTCTACGTACAGGATCGCCCCCGTCACTATATCAGATTTGATAGACCACAAATCCTCGCTAAAGAACACCGATTCCTTCCAAGGATGATTCGCGAGGCTATTGAAATTAAAAAAACATCCTAATTTCAATAGAGAAGATGGCTGGGTGCTACCATCTGCTTGGGATCCTATAATAAATAAAATTAAATCCCAACCCAAGCATACAACTGCAGGACTTCATGATATCATAAGTTCTTACTGTGTAGATTGGAACAAAAGTTAAATTTTAATCTATGGTAACCGCGGTTAACTATGACATCTGGACGTTAAACATCTCAGTCCTTCCCGTGACCATGGGTGCTGTAAAGCTCTCGAAACGTCGGGTATTTAAAAAGTTAAATATACGCGATAAATTCCGTAAAAACTAGTATTATTTCAATGTGTAGTGTTCGCGTAAATATAAGAAACCATTATATTAAAAACGTGTTCTTCACGTTCCGTTTCAGACTACGAAAAACTTGTTCATTCATCATGTGGTTTATGAATGTTCAAAATAACCGATTTCTTTTTTATAACTTATTAATTTATGATTAGATACGATTTTTAATGGTTTTATGTTTATGTTGAGGAATTTAGGAATTATGTTGAGGAAAGAAAAATAAGTGTATAGACCTTATCTGACAGCCGTTATAACCTAAAAATTTTATTTACTTAATAACATTTTCCCTGGCCTCTAAATGAAAAGATGATAAGTGATTATGTTATTATAAACAATTACTGTTTTTATACAACAGTGGTTATAGGTAGACGCGACCTGTTAAAGGAATCAAGTGACAGGTCAATCAATCCTATACCTTTAAACGAGCAATTATTGTATATATATATATATATATATATATATATATATATATATATATATATATATATATATATATATATATATATAATCGGAATCTCGGAAACGGCTCCAACGATTTTCATAAAATTTTGTGTGTAGGGAGTTTCGGGGGCTATAAATCGATCTAGCTAGGATTTATTTTTAGAAAATGTCTTTTTGTCCGTGTTTTTAGGCAATGAAAAACTGCTACAATATCGTTAGAATAAGCTTAATTGGTATATTGGGCGGTCACAAAATCGTAATACCCATGGTTCGAGCCCAGACCGACCGACCGACTTTTGTTAATTTTTTTTTCAAGTTTCTTTCTTTTTTTGAGAAAATCTATTTTTCGAGCCCTTTTTTTAGTATCTTTTAAAAACACGAAAATTTTAATTAAACTAATTGCATTCATGATTTTTTTATTCAAATAACCAGTTCAGTTTTTTCAATTATGTCGCTAAGATCAAAAATTATTATTCGTATTTCATCAGTAAGTAATTTGTATCTAAATATAATTTCCAAAACACAAGAATTAAAAAAAAAACAAGCGAAAAATACCGAGCAAAGCTCGGTCAACCGGGTACTGTATGTAAAGTGGGCATGATTCTTTACAATTTATGATCTGCTCACAAATATCGTGGAATCTATAAGGGTTCCTAGTTGACTACGGAACCCTAAAAAGTGGCTATTTAATAAATCTTTTTATTCGGTTAGTGAGTTGGAAAACCAGTATCTTTAAATTTTGGACTATTTAATAATAATATTTTAATACTTAATATATAATGTGACATGAAAATATAAATATTAATAATGTGATAGTGCAATTAATAGTAAATGTTTTTGTTTTATTATGTCGCTTTCTAGTTTATTTTTATGTTTTTTGTTTGTTAATTATTATCAACGGTTTTTTGTAATTTTATTCTATATTGTAGTTATCATTTTGTACACCAGAAATGGTTAATGTGTTGTACTATATTTTTATAACAACTGTAAAACGCACACATTATGCAAAATAATCAAATAAATAAATAAATAATGCATAAAGCATAAACATATTTTTATACCGGCTTTAAACCTTTTGTGCCTCAACAAAAAATAAAAATTAAACAACAATAATTGAAAGATCTTTAAAAACTTTAGTAGCAATCTTTGGTAATAGTTCTAATTTATTATTTGAAATTTAAATATTATTTTACACATCAAAATAATGTATGTTTCTTACCAATATTTCGAAACTGACTTTTAAATTGCATATAGAACGCAAAAATGAACAGATCTATAGAGTAGTAGTAATTAACAGATCTATAGTTGCCACGCTTGGCAAGCAAGTTGGCAACCGCAGTTTTATTTTCATTCTTCGTCGTTATTAGGAAGACGCACCTGCCCGTCTCATGACTTGCTTTCAACTTTCGCCTTTTACGATACGACACCCACGGCATGATATGGGGTAGTAGATATTCTTGCACCACCACTACACGGTACATCTTGTCAACACCATACGCAAAATAAAATTTGTGAGACGTCTGGCTACGATCGAAGTTCCACTTGTCAAGCGTATGTTTAAGCAAAACCATTCATGCAACGAAGGAGGTCTAATACCAGCAGTAGATTATTGTGGGCTGATGATGATGGAGTAGAAGTATGCTTTCCTTACAAGACGTGGCATCTTACTATTGTAGCTCAAGAACAGAATAGAAGCTAACTTCTCACCAATTTCTGCCGCTAAGCTAAAGCGCGTGTACTGCTGTATTCTGTTTTGAAGGGTATAGAGGGCCAGTATAATTACAGGTTGTGCTTACATCTTTGTCCTAAGAGGTGAGTGCGTGTGTAACCTTCTTTATGTGACATTAGTTGAAGGCGTGCATGTGCTGCAGTAGCCACAAACGATCGGGTGGATTGCAAGATCGTACGTCGTTTTATGAAAGAAGAATTAGAAGAATGGTTGCTTTATTTTTTATTCATTTATTTATTTAATCTTTATTATAAACCTTGTATACTAAGGGATATGGAGGGCGGACTTAATGCCTTATGGCATTCTCTGCCAGTCAACCCTGGATGGTTTGAGAAACTGTGGCAGGTGTAATCAATCACTTCATAAATAAATAATAAGGATATAAAACAAAATAAAATGCAAATGAATAGAAGAGATATATAGTTAGTAAAATTTACATACTTAATATATAATATAGGATAAATAATTAATATAGAAATAGCTTTACTAGTCGTGGTAGTTTAAAAACTGATTTCTTTCTTGTTTTTTTACTTATAAGCCAATGCTTGACCACGATCACGGTGGTAAGTGGTGATGAAACCCCATGGTAAATTGCACTGCCTTAGCGTAACAAAACCTTTTCACTGTTGAAGATGCCTAGATTGTATTCGGACGAAAAGAGGGACGCTGATAAATTATTCTACTCCTTTGGTTCTAATGCGTAGACAATCGACAACAAAGAACCCACCGACCGCCTGTGTAATGGAGGAAAGGAGAGGGAGAAATTAAAGCTTGTAACTTCCGCCGCAAAACTTTGCGTGCTGTGCTGTTTTCTGGTCTGAAGGGCTGTGCAATTATAATTTCATGTTGTGAGGCATTCCATCATAGTCTTCAGAGTTAACAGGTGTTCATGAGCTGCAGTACTTAACTTACTATTAGGTAGATTATAAGTTCGTTAGTAAAAAAATTAATAATAATACGAGTATGACATTTTATTTTGAGTTTTCTATTGGAATTTATTATTTTGTCAATTTATCACGAATTAAAGTAACCGTGTAGTTTTGGTGTAACAAATGTTTTCTTTTTTCTGTAGAATAGGTGGTAAACTAGATCGTAAGTAACTATCGCTGCCCATGAAAAACTCAACTACTGAAC